CACAAACTGTCAAACACATCTTACCAGCAAACATACACTCGTTTTCATCCTTCTCTCCACTCTCTGAGGCAGAAGTCTCTAAACTCATCCTTTCCAATCATCCTACTACTTGTCCGCTTGATCCTATTCCATCTCATCTCCTTCAAGCCATTTCTCCTGTCATTGTACCTGCACTCACTCACATCGTTAACACATCCCTTCAGAGAACAACCTCCTGGACAGCAACCAATCTGGCTTCAGAAGTGGACATTCGACCGAGACTGCCTTGCTTTCAGTTTTTGAAGACCTAAGACCTAAGAGCGGCTTCCAAATTATCTATACTTATCTTGCTGGATCTATCCTCTGCTTTTGATACGGTGAACCACCAGATTCTCCTGTCAAACTTATTGGAAAATGGCATCTCAGGAACCGCACGCCAAGTCGCTTTGGATAAAAGCTTCTGCTAAATGACTACATGTAAATGTAAATGAATAGATTTCAACAAGATACAACTGTAGAAATGTAGTAAATTGCTGTCTTATTCAGTTTTGTATTAGGTTTTGAACTTCAGGTTAACTGTTTTTAAAACTGACCTGTAGGTACATAGAGTTTTGGCCAAAGCAATGATAAATGATCCACACTTTAGTTCACATAGACTGCTGTTGTGCTCACTGTGAGAGAAGTTTTGAAAAAGTGATCTCAATATTGGGAGATGGGTCTTGGCGATTGTATTAGAAAAAAATAATTAATAAACAAATGTAATACTGATGTGCCTGTATGTGTGTTATACGTATCTGAGAAGCCGCAAATATAAGAGAGACAGACCAAACAGAAAGAGGAAAGATAGATCTACTCTATAGAAATACATCACTCTTCATCAGATGTCAGGTTTTCCCACCAGCCCAGTGTGCCCATCAACAATTTATCTGCTTCACAAGAGCTGTTCCTCCTCCAGTGCTTTGTCTATTCTTTTTATAAATGCTCTGGACAGCGAACACTGACATTCATTAGCATTAGCTATTGAGCACAAGGGTGTGTAAACCCATGTCTTTTACTCAGGGTTCACTCAGAGGTCAACTGTATAGTGTGTAACTCATGCCACACTATTTGTGTTAATGACATTAATGATACCTCAAATTGTGAGGGAAGATGAACTATTACTTTGCAAAGTGGCTGGGCTTTTTCACCTAACGGGGAAGAAAAATAAATAAATAAATAAACAGGTGAAAAACATACCACAGACTGAAGGAGGTACCCTAGACGAGATTATAATAGATACTTGGCATGTGGGCATTTTGACTTATAGGTAAGCAAACACTTAGCAACAACCCAGCCACACGATATCATAATTTACAATTTATTTTTGAATTGTAATTTTTGGCAGACCTATTTATTTTGAATTAATGTATTCAGCGTGTCTTATTGATTTATATTCTGAAATATGTTTATTTGATGTCTCCCCCGTAATTAATTATAATTTCTATGCATTAATATTTTTGTCAAAACACATGAGCACAGATTCCCACTGGTTTATTCAGTAGGGATCACATCCATTCATGCATGTATTTACATACATTTTGGGTAAAAAATGCATTCATTTGAAATTTCTATAAAACCTTACAGCTGTATCTAGACCGGGAATACAAAAAAAGTGTTTGTTTGGTATATTTCAGATCATGGCAGGTAAAAAAAAGCCTGAGCCCACAGCACTGGTGAGAAACTCAGCATTGATGGAAACAAATTGAATAATTCAGTCTGTGACGCTCCTTCTGCTAGATGTAAAAAAGATCATTGGTTGATGTCCTGTGTCCATTATTCACTGTTTGAGAGAATGACAATGCCAAAAGGGAAAATGTAAGGTCACAATCAATCATTCACAACAGAGAAAATCATTGTGGGTTGAGAAATAAATAATGTAAAAACTTTAGAAAATGGGTTTCAATATATTTGTTTGAAATATAGGTTTGTTAAATCTTGAGTATTTAAGTAATTTTTAAGATAAATAACATTCTGTGCTAACAAATTGCAATGAGGTGGTTGTTTTGCAACAAGGTGGGCACAGTTCAGTTCAGTTCATAACAGTAGACCTGCTGGTGAAGTGAAAGGTACTAGAAAAAAAGGCAGAGACAGAGATATTGGGGGAAATGAAGAAAAGGAAAAGGGAAGTGAATGTGCAGTTCAAGACACAACCTTTAATTATTTTCCATGGCCCCAGACAAGGATTTAGAACTTTTTATGTTATGGCCATACAAATAATAGGATTGTCTGTGGTTTCAGAATTTGTTGTGGGTGTATAGGATGGCCCAGATGAGTGTGAGATTTCCCGGCCTGAAATTGCGTCCCAGTCCGGCCCTGCCTGTTGCATGAAGCTAGCTGAACAAACTCTGAGTTTTAGAGTAGGTTTAGAGTTGACAAAACCAAACAAATCCAACCTGGTTTAGATCAGGTTCAGTGGGCTCACAAAGCTTGATATAAATGTTCTCTGTCAACTCAGGGTTTGATCCAGAGTTTGTGATTTAATTTTGGAGTGTGTGACACATGCAGTAACAGCCAATCATCTGGAACATGGATAGTTTAATTAACTTCTTGTGAGAGTCGGCACAGTTCACTTCTCTGCTGAAGATTAAGACATGTTTTTATTAAATGTAATGAATTTAAATGTATTTACAAAGCTGGAAAAAACACTGTTGCTCCTGCAAAAGTTTGAGAAGGCAGCAGGAAGAAAATATGACTATGCAAATGAATGGGCTGAATTTAATAATTTATATAGTTTCACAAAGAGCTCAATAGAAAACACACAAGTTCAGTCATTTTAAAAGCTGTATATATTAAAACGTATTTATATGTAGATATTTTAATTAATTTAAAAGTTTAACATCAATTTCCAGTTCATATAATAAGTATTTGAATACATGAATTATAAATAATTAGCAGCAACGATGGGCAATTTTGTCTCTAAAATTATTTGACTGTAAACTTGTTTAATTTGGAGCCAGAGATACAGGAGAAGTGGCTTTAATGTATCAGATATATGTCAGTCACAGCTGATTGGTCCAGTTTGGGTTTGCGATCTCTAACCCAGAATAAAACCTTCTCTGGAGCAGGGTAGCTGTGTAGCGTAAGTTACCATGGCAACGAATCCTGCTCAAAACCAACCCAATTTCTTGAGCCTGAAAACTCAAGAGTTTGCTCAACTTAAACGCACTCTTACCTGGGGAAAAAACTAAACCTGCTTTGTGCAAAAGGCCTCAGAGCTTATCCTCTGCAGTATCTTCCAAGGTGGCAGGAGGATAGAGGAATATGTGTAGAAATTCCTAGAGTACAGTTACCTGACGGCATGGGATGATCATATCCTTATAAACTGCTTAATCAATGGACTGGATGATTATGTCTGCCATCTGTCGCCTGGTAAATATGAATATGGGACACTTGAACAATTTATGGATGGTGTGGCTCGTCTTGTACAGTTGAACTATCAGTCTCATCATCGAGTGAGACCATCACAAGCTCCCTTGGCTCGGCCCGTCCTGATTCCACCATTCCCCAATCCAGGAATGTAACATTTCTCACCTTTCCCCGGCCATGGAAGGCTGTGTCTAACAGTGCGGATTTAATGTCGAAAGCAGATTCACCTATCGTGTCCGTTAAGTCCATGCTGAAGAAAATTAACACTCACCGGTCCTCATGTCAAGAACCCATTCCAGAGTCTGTTCCAGATTGTCAGCCCAGTTCAGAGTTTGCTAAAGCCACACCATTCCATTTAACTGCAGCCCAAAAGAGAAGGGTTAGGAAAAAGAGATGATTCACTGTGGTACCAACCATTTCCACTCCAGAACCTGTCTCAGAATTCTTCTCAGATGTTCCTAAGTCCTTTTCAGAGTCCACTCCAATATATGTGTCCACTCCAGTGTCCAATCCAGCCTATGAGTATGCTCCTGAGTCTGCTCCAGCCCCTGAGTCCAGTTTAGTGTCGTCTCCAGCCCTGAGCACGGTCCAGTGACGGCTCCAGCCCCTGACCAGAGTCCAGTGATGGCTCCAGCCCCAGAGTTCAGTAATGAGTTTGCTCCAGCCCTGGAGTGCATTAACTAGCCCATTATGGCCCCTGAATCTACACCAGAGTCCACTCTAACCCCAGAGTCTGCACTGGAGCCCACTCTGACCCCTGAGTCTGCACCGGAGACCGTTCTAACCCCGGGATCTGCTTAAGAGTCCATTTCTACCTGTGAGTCTTCTCCAAATTTCCCTCCAGACCATGAGTCTATATGACTATTACCCCCAGACCAAGAGTTCACTCCAGAGTTCAGCCCGGAGTCTATTAATTTCCCCGAGATTAACCAGGAGCCCATTCAATTCCCTGTACTCAGTCAGGGGCTTGCACTAGTCCCAGAGCTCAGCACAGTGCCCGCTCTCATCCCAGAGCTCAGCACACTACCCGTTCTACTGCCAGAATCTTCAACCAGCAGGGCCACCAAGTCAGAGTCTCCTGCTATCATGAGTGCTATATCTGAGTCCCCTGATATCATAGCCATCATGCCAGTGCCCAGCCTGATCATTCTAAGCTTGGCGGATTCAGAGTTCCTTCTGCCATAATGTGTGTTTGGGCCGCACACTGTTCTCCCACTCGTATTGAAGTGGAGGTGTTCACCCCCAAATCTCCTGTCTGTTCTGATATGACCATGGAAGTTAGCTGTCTGTCTAGATTTGACCACAGAGGTTGTTCCTGAGTTTCCTGTTTGTCTAGATGCGACTAAGGAGGTCGTTCTTGAGTTTTCTGTCTGTTCTGATGCAACCATGGAAGTCAATTCCCAATTTTTTTGTCTGTCTAGAAGCTACCATGGAGGTAGTTCCAAAGTTTGTTCCTGTTAGTTACGGTTTGTTCAAATTTAACAACGGAGGTGGTCCCTGTCTACTTTAGCTCAGCCATGGAGGCCAATCTAGATTCCCTCTCCACGGCCACCGAGACCAACCAAAGGCCATGGAGGCCTCCCTAAAGCTCTCTGTTTGTCTTTCTGTCCCATTAGGTCTATTGAAACCAGCCTTTCAGTCAGTCGGTCAGCCAGCCCTCCAGATGCCCATCTCTCAGCCGGCCTTCCAGACATCGGCAAGCCAGCTGGCACTCCAGACGTTCTTAAGTCTGTCAACCATCCAGGCGATTTCTAGCCAGCTAATCCTCCTGTTGATATCAAGCCAACTGATCTGCCTGGGGTTAGATTTGTCTGCTCGGATGTGGTGGTCTTCGGCTCCACCTTGGAGGTCATCATACCACATTTGGTAAGACAAGTACAATAAAATCAGTAGCATAGTAACACTAGTACAGAGATCTGTAGAACAAGTAGGTTACAGAATGAAATATGCCAAATATGCAGACAATGGCCATGAAGAAGGATATGCTATTTCATTTAGTTTTAGTAGTTAACCTTTCACAAAGTCATGGCAAAACATTGCAAGACCACTTACCATATAATAATGCTTACTAATGAAAGTAATAAATATTGTTGCATGAATAATAAACAAATTATCCACCTCTAAACTATAGTGAAGTATTAACAAACTTTGATGCAATAAATAAAGGTCTAATTTAGTGTATATAATAAATTGCATTTGCATGTGTTATTATAGCACAATTATTAACGCCCCTCCCCAGACCTCACTAATTTTCAAACCCTGGTTATGGCTTTCACGGTTATGGACATTTTGTTGTGTTTTTCTCTGTTCCTGTTCTCCTGCCCTGTTTAGTTCCTTTCTGTTTCTGTTCTTGTCATTAGTTGCCTTGGTTACCTATTAGTTTTGAGGTGTGTCTTGTTAATTTTCCCATTATATATACTTTTATCCCTTTTGTTCAGTTCTCTGCTGGGCTGCGTTTCCCGAAACCTTCTTAACGCTACGTCGTTCGTAAGTTATACCTTAAGTTGTACCTTTACGTTAATACGTGTTTCCCAAAACGTTCTTAGTTAAGTATACCTTCTGTAAAGTCATTCGTTCATAAGGTTAGTCTGGACCACTCTTAGCTATACCTTATCGCTGCTCACAGCCACACCCAGTGTTCAATTAGTGTTCAATAAATTGAAGTGTTTTTATGCAAAGAATAAAACTGTCATTATACTGATGGTTGTTCGTTTTTCCATTATAATATACAAAGGCACATCGGCTGGCAAACCATTAGGCAACACATAATTAGGAGTCTATTCAAAGGCAATGAATATGGTGGTGAGTTTGGTCAAACTATGGCAGCGAGACAGCGAATAGTTGTCCTAAATCAAAGACGGCTGCGTCCGCGGAGCCAGTTAGTGTATGTGCACTATTTCATGATAGTGTCATAATAGCTGCCATGTCAAAAGATACAATTCTACAAAAATGTCGCCTGCCATGGGAGCAAATTCAGCAGCTTTTACATCTTGTTGATCCAACTTTGTCGAGGCAAACTCGACGGAGCTACCCCCCTAAGCCCCGAAATTCAGCTGCTGGCGGCCCTCCGTTTTTATGCTGTGGGGAGATTTCTGGAGGTGGTTGGGGATGGATATGGGCTG